AAGGCAGAAAATGAGAAAAACAATAAAAGAAAATAAATAGGAAAGAAAATACCCAGAAATTTGACACCCCAGGGGTTCGAAGGCAGGACCAGGAGCGGGGATCTTGCAACGACGAGCTGACCAACTCACACAAGTCCACACTTGTGTCATCATTGAGCAACATATAAATATAACGGGGTGGTAGCTGCGGTGTCAGTTCCTTTTCACAAACTGAGCTGTCCACTCCATCTCTTCTCCTGCTTTGTCATTTCTCACAAACCCAAAGTCCGTTTCTTCTTCTGGCAAAACCCAAACCAGCATCTCATATGCTACCTCCCAAACAAATTTTTTTCTCTCCACAATAAAACTCCACTCCCACTCCATATTGTCTTAAAACCTTAGCCTTGTGAAAAATCGATCTTGAAAATTTGCCTCCCCCCTTTTCCAATTGCTTCTGAGGTTCAGCATGCGACAACATCTCTCAATCGCCACCTTTGTCGGTTGCTGGGGGCGAATGGGTTCAAGGCCAGATGCTTGGAAAAGGGGGATGTGGGTTTGTGTATTTGAGTTGGGTCAAAGAACCAAATATGTGCACAGGTGCCTTACCCCCAATTTTCGCAATGAAATTGACCTTATACTGTGATGCGCTTGAGCGAGAGTTGGAAAATGCAATTCTTGGCACGTTTAGTAGCTGCCCATTGATCCTTCCCCGCTCTCGCAGCACCAATGCCTTCCGATATCCATCCAAAGGTAAGAGTAATTCCAGAATTTGTTTTGGGTCCTGATCTGGGAGCTGTGGTTGATGTATAGATGTGTGTGTATAATTTCGACATGTGCACAGTGTAGGAAGGTTGCAGATCCAAGAGAAGGCAGTCAGCACACAAGCTCAAAGGGCAAAACAGCACAAAGCCCTGAGGACCCCCAATCCGTGCATCTCATAGGTATAATGTCGAATCCCTGAAAATGTTGTTGTTGGAAATTTGGTAGATTTGTTGCTGGGTGCATGATTCCAGTGTAGACTTGCTGCTGGGTGCAGGATTCCAGCCTAGGATATTTTTTGCTTTTGATGTTTGCTGCTGATTGTTGTATCCTGCATTGAATCAATGATGTGTTATGAGTAGAAAGAAAATAAAAACATCTAGTTAAAGAAAACAACAACAAATAATTTTTTTTTAATTTTTTTTAATTAAAAGGAGTAAAGAGTATAGAAAAATTGGGTTGCCTCCTAATAAGCGACTTCTTCTGGCAAAACCCAAACCAGCATCTCATATGCTACCTCCCAAACAAATTTTTCTTATCCACAATAAAACTCCACTTCCACTCCATATTGTCTTCAAACCTTAGCCTTGTGAAAAATCGATCTCCTCTGCTGCTTCGTCATTTCTCTCAAACCCAAAGTCCTTTGCTTCTTCTGTCAAAATCGAAACCAGCATCTCTGTTGGATTCCCAACCCAAATTCGAATGCTTTGTAGATCTCATAGCAAGGACTCGCTTGGGTCATCATCGCCTTTTCCACGCTGCTTCATACTCACTCTGTCAAAAACCCCCAAATTTTCTCTTCTCTGTTCAATAGGGGGATAGAACACTTACGAGCTGACCTTGCCTATACGAAATATAAAGCATCGGTTTGGGTTCCTAGTGCAATGGCTTCGTTACTAGCTGGGGCACGAGCAGAGTTTACAACACAATTTGTGTTTACAAATGGGTCTGTTGTTTCTGTTGATTGGCTCCATGCGAACTTAAGGAGCCTGATCTGAAGGTGGAGGATGCCTCTTGGTACATGCCTCTGTCTCAAACCTCTGCCAGCACCGTCACTAACGTTCACCTGCATCCATGATGGTCCTCAATCTCGCAGCATCAGTGCCTTCCGATATCCATCCGAAGGTAAGAGTAATTCCAGAATTTATGTTGGATCCTGATCTGTAAAAAGGTGTGATATGTAGAGATGTGTGTTCTTTGCCCCTGCAGGTACTCATATTGGTGCTCGCTGTGTAAGGTCTGCGGATCCAAGAGAGATTCAAGGGAAAGGGCAATAAACACACAAGCTCAAAAGACAAAACAGCAAAAAGCCCTGAGGACCCCCAATCTGTGCATCTCATAGGTATAATTTCGAATCCCTGCAAATTTGTGTTGTTGGAAATTTGGTAGACTTGCTGCTGGGTGCAGGATTCCAGCCTAGGATT